GTGATGCCTTCCCTAGCACGTTTCTCTGAATCCCCCATCACCCGGTCCTTTGAGGAGGCTTACACTGCTTTCCAGTGGCCTCTCTGCCACCCAAGACCTCTGTGTTCCCATCACTCACACCCCATCAGTCAGCTCTTGGATGTAACACTGTAGCTTCTCCAAATGAGACGACCCAACCCAGCAAGGCCCTACCATAATGCCAAGAAGTGAGGGGTCTGGGCTGGGGCTGGAATAGACCAACGAGCCAAGGCTTCTGGCAGGAGCTGGGAGAGGATCGCAGGAGACATAGCTTGGGGTGGAAGCCCATGCCAGCCAGGCCTCGGTGGCTGGGCTTTGCGGGTAAAGCAGCAGAGAACCTGCTAGTGGTTCCCTGCTCCTAGCTGGGCTGTTCCATCAGCAGAAATAGAGATGCTCCAGTGCCCCCAGCTCCTTCTCCACCCTTGCACGCACATTCCTCTTGTCTTCCCAGGATGGAGAGCCTGGCCCACAGTGCCAGGAGTGAGCGTGGTACCCAGGAAACACCTGCACTGGAGTCTCCATCAGCACAGCCCACAGGAGATGGAAAGCCAGCTTTCACTAACGGGAGACTTGGGGGAGATTTCGCTTTTCTCCCACATGGCCTCTGAAAAGCAGCCATGATTCACAGGATCTGGGTTAGCATCCTCCTCTGGCAGGAGTCTGACACAGGACGACTGAGCTGACCCACAGCACAGGATGGAAAACACACCAAAGTGGCTCCTGTCCAGGAACCCAATGTCATCTTGTCCTCACTCGTCTGCCATCACTCAGGTGCTGCACATGGCTGGGGTGTAGGGCCTCTCAGCAAAGTATCCTGGGCTGCAAGTTCCAACATGTGCGCCCTCCCCGACCTTCTCCTCTGGTCCTCACTGGCCTGGAGGTTTTGACAAAGATCTTGGAGGGCGTTAGCTGTGTTCCTGGTCCAATACCAGGATCACACACTCAAGGTACTGCACACACTGAGGTCAGATGGGCTCTGCCACTGCTGCCCCTCTGCAGACCAGGTGGACCAAGAAGTTAGGGACGGGCAGGCCTGTCTCAAGCACTGGGACCTACGGACCAGTGAGCCCCTGGGCCCCCATCATCCTGGTTCACTGTTCAGAAAACATGTTCATCACACTGGTGTCGCCTCCAGGTTCCAGGCGGCACAGGGGAGGGGTTAGGAGCACACACTTAGACACCAGACTAGTTACCTCCAGACCCAGGCCTTCCTGCTCCCTGGCTCTGTGGCCTCTGGCCTCCGGAACGTCATTCTCCCTGCCCGTTTCCTTATTTGTAAGTGAAGGTAAATGCAGTGCCTCTTTCCCAGAGCTACCGTGAAGTCAAACAACTTAACATTAGGGCGATCAGCTGTCCTGCTTCGCCCAGGACTGTCCCAGATTTAACATGGGACGTCCAGCATCCCAGGAAGCCCCCGAGTTCCCGGACAGCAAGCAGGGAGGGTCACCCTCATTAAAAATCTGTACATGACCTACATGTGGTAGGTATGAAATAGGATCTTTTTCTAAAACTTTAACTGGTACCAGGGACATCACTTGCCCAGGTGTGGACCCCCACTTGGCAGGCTCACAAGACTGAATGGGGGAAGGATCCTGATTCAGTGCCTGGAGAAGGTCTTTCCAGGCCCCTGTATGAAGCAACCCCTTCCCCCAATGGCCAGGGATGCCTGGAGGGTCCCCCACCTGCAAACATCCTGCCCTGTGTCCCCTATTCTGGTGCCAAAGTCTTTCTGCTCCAAACATACGGCCCCCGGGGGGCCACCCCCGCAGCGCTGGAAGCACCAAGAGCTGCTCCTTTGGGTGACGAGAGCCAAGCCCAGGCCCCATCCCCTTTCACACTCAGGTAAAACTTCACCCAGAGACCTTTGGTGATGGCACTGGGCCCTGAGCTCCCATTCAGGGCGTGATAAATGACCGCTGTCACAGCGACACGAACGCTCATATTGAAAAGCCCTGCTGTCTGTCTCCCTCCCTTTCAGGCCGCCAACCTCTCTCTTAAGTCACCAGGCATCACTCACACGTCATCCTTTCTTGAATGTGTGCAGTCAGGGACCCTTGCTCCCTCTGCCCCTCGCCTCCCACCTGCCCCTCCCCTCCCCCCTCCTCTTGGGTCTCTTTCCTCACCCCCCTCCATCCTCTCCTTTCCTCTTCCCTCCCTATCTCTTTCCTCTCCTCCCCATCCCCTATCCTCCAGCCCTGACTTCCCATCCCAAGTTCTGGATGAGGGAAGCTCATGCTCTGGTCCCTGTCACCCATGTTGTCACCACCAGAATGGGGGATCACAGATGGAGAAACTGGTCATTCCTGTGTCTCACCCTCACTCTGTCTCGGGCACAGGCACAAATGCAGCCCTAAAGGGAAGGCTACACCAAACAAGGACAGCAAAAAGGAAATGAGAAGAGAGCAGACTCATAGTGCCCTAATCCAAGGGGTTTTACCCCAGATGCCAGGGCTACTGTATCTGTGTCAGTCTGGGTTGTGTTTCTCTGGGGAGAGGAATCAAAGATTCTGTCTGGTCCCCAAAATAGACCAAGAACTGCCACTCAGAGGTTCTCGTCCCAAGATGGCCCAACAGCCCTGGGAAGCCCACACTAACTCCACACTACGAGTATCAAAGCTGTGCGGCTGGGACAGAGAGAAGTATCTGAGTCTGAAGCCTCGGCCCAAAGGGCTTCCCCTCCCTCACCCACAGCTTCTTCTGCCTTAAGAAGGAGCCCCACAAAACAGAAACAGACTCACAAATAAACTTCTGGTTACCAGAGGGGGAAGGGGGCAGGAAGGGATAAATTGGGAGTTTGAGATTTGCAGATAGTAACTAGTGTATATAAAATAGATAAACAAGTTTCTACTGTACAGCACAGGGAACTATATTCAATAGCTTGTAGCAACCTATAATGCAAAAGGATATGAAAATGAATATATGTACATATATGTACGACTGAAACATTACACCAGAAACTGACACAACATTGTAAACTGACTATACTTCAATAAAAAAAAATAAAACATAGGGGAGGATATAGCTCAGTGGTAGAGTATGTGCCTGGCATGCACGAGGTCCTGGGTTCCATTTCCAGTACTGCAATTAAATATATACATAAACAAACAAACAACATGATTGCCTCCCCCCACCAAAAAAAAAAACCACACACGCACACACAAATAAAGTAAAATAGCTAAACTTGTTGTTAGCCCAGAAAATTATATTCAGTATCTTGTAGTAACCCATAGTGACAAAGAAGATGAAAAGGAATATATATATATATGTATAACTGAATCACTAGGCTGTAAGCCAGAAATTAACACAACATTAAAAGAACTGACTATATTCCAAAATTAAATTAAATTTTTTAAAAACAGAAGCAGCCTCACTGGGACAGCCAGGGACAAAGGAGGCCAGAACCCACCACAGAAAGGGCACTGAATCACATTCTCAAAGCCAGGAGAAATGGCTGTTTTCTCTGGGGGAGGAAAACAGAAATTTGGGAGGAACGGCGGGGAGTGGCTGTGTGCCATCCTATCTGTGTCTGTGCCCTCTTCCACCCCGACACCCATCGGCTACCCTGGAAGCTTAGAAAGCTAAGGATGGGCTCTCCGTGACACTGTCCACTCAGGAAGTACCTCATTTGGCATGTGGATATTGAAGGCGCCTTTTACTTAAAGGTGCTCATGTCATCCTTGAGCTGACTTTCCAGGGGCTTTTGTTTTGGTAACAAATGGAGCTGCAAGGCCCAGGTGGTAAGAAGAGCATGGTGCGTGCCCAGGCCCCTCAGGACCACCTGCCGGGTGCCTTTCCACAGCCATCCTGGCACCAGATGCCCAGGGCAGCCTTGAGACTATGAGCCCCTCTGCATTATGGGAGACAAGTGAGGTACAGGTGAGGCCACTGCTAAGTCTACTCAGCCCAGAATTCACACAAGCCAGGAGGAAAGGAGGGACTCCACTCACTGCACAGGGCCTGCCCTGCATCTCAAATAGGAGAGGTACCAGCCACAGACCCACCACAGGACACGGGTGGCCACAGGTGGCTTCCCTAACACAGAGCTAAGGCACTGGACACAGGCCCATAAAATGCCCTCCGAAGTAGGACTCTAAGGCCAAGTACACTAAAGAAATGCCACTTGATAATATGCCTTTCTTAGATGGTTGCAATGAAGATGAGCTTATTCAAGGCTCTGAGGACTCCTACAGCCAACCAGCTTAACTCAGAGCTTCCCAAACTTACTTGGCCAACAGCTGAGTCCCTGTGGGTGCAGAATGACCATCAACATTCCTGGAAACACTGTCTTCCCCGAGGCATGCTACCTGCCTGACCTCACTCTACTGACAGTAACTCTAGGAGGTGAGCATGACTATTACCCCAATAGACAGATGAAGACCATGAGGATCCAGAAGAACGTGCACTCAAGGACAGGGATCTAGACTCTACCTTTTGAAGAGAGGCGTGCCGGAGAGTTTCCATTCATATTTTAAAACCACTCCATCCCCTCTCTCCCTTGATTGCACCTCTTAAACTCTGAGATGGAACCTAGTTCCTTCTAGCTTTTCATCCCTTGACATTAGCAATTTCCTCGTCCAAAAAGCCAGTTGGAATTTGATTATTTGTTACTTGCAGCCAAAGGATTTCTTACAGATTTTTAAAGAGATTATTATGACACAATGTGACAAGTGCCTTAATCAACATACTCACAGTTTTCTGCTGAGACAGAAAAAAGAGAGAAAATCAGCTAGCTTGGCTTGTGGGAGGATCATGAAAGGTGATCCTAGAACAAAATCCCCAAAGATTTGTCCCCCAGACAGCAAGGTGGGGAAGCACGAACCACGACAGGAGCAAAGCGCTGTGAGGCATTTACTAGGTGTAATACCTTCAGATACATCCCTCTGATGGGAAAACAGACTGAGACAGATTACATACCTTGCCCAAGGGGACATCACTGCTGATTGGCTGGGCCAGAATTTGAGCCCGGGCCTGTTTTACGGCAAAGCTCCAGTAAGTATGCCCACAGTATGCTACCTCATCGCCAAACACCCAGCCACAAAACGGACACCTGCTGCTTCTGTGAACAGACACCCCTTCAGTGCCCCAGAGCTGTGGCTTTTCCTGGATTTAGTAAGGAGAATCTAATTCTGGTGGCACCAGAGGCTGTGACAGCGGGAGGAAAGGTCCTAAGAAGCTTCTGAGAGTTCTGCACTTGAGCCTAGAAGGTGTCTTCCATAGGCACAAATTCTCTGAGCTTTTAGGGACTGTGAGATCTTCCATTCTAACTATTACTTAAAGAGCTTCTGTGATTTTTATTATTTTCTCAATGCCCGAGGTTCACCCCGCTCTCACTGAATTTTACTGCATAATTTCAGTGTCTTCATTTAACTCTGTGCTGGAAAAAAAAAAAAGGCAGGAAATTTAGAAAAACAGACTCATGCTGAAGTTCTGCTCCACCACTTGCTAACCTGGGTAACATCTCTCACTCCCAGTTACTTGGTTATTTGATTCTACACAAATGAACAGCACTTGGTTTCCTCAGCTGGGAAATAAGGGTAATACTTCCAGCCTTGTATGACTTGGAGGATTCAATGAGCTAACGACTGGTCCACAGAAGGTTCCAGAGGCCTATCAGTTCCTACCTTCAATCCCTACAGTCTTTTCTTCTTACTTTCTCGAAGACTGTCAAATGAAAGGCAAACAATCTTCTCAGTTTGACTCATCGCGAGTTCCCCACACAAGGGCAATGTCACAAATGGTTAACAACTGATGCCACACAGGCATCATCAATCACACTACAGATAATCGATCGAAGGCCAAATTACAGTCAAGACTGCTTAAGTATTTTTCCTGTTCCTGACAAGGTAAAGGAATTCTCCCTCCTGACTCTACACTCCCCACCAACAAATGAAAACTGGCCACCAGGGGAGACGATGATGCTGGCACACACAGTTACAAATCGGGGACAGAGCACAAGCCAAAGAATAGTAATAGCTTGAACCAAACCGTAAGCCGGGCCAGCACGTACCCAGCGCTGCACACGCACGTGCTTCTTTCACGCTCATAACCATCCCACGGAGCAGGTGTGACCATTATCTCTATTTTTCAGAGGAGAAAACTCATACCTAGAGAGGGTAAGCAAATTGCCCAAAGCCACAGGGAGACGGTAAGTGACAGAGCCGGAACAGCAGCATGGGTCTGCCGGGCACCAAAGCCTGTAACCATAGCCATTAGGCTCTATCTCCTGGCTTCTCCCATGATTAGAAGCTGAGGCTTTTAGTCCCCCCCGCCCACCCCATGGCTGGACACCTGCGTCTCAGATCACACGAACTCTTCACAGAGGCAGCCCCAATCCCCCATCAATGCCCGTGTCTTAGGTCAGGTTCCAAACAGGCAAACCTCAAGACAAGGATTTGGGTGCACGTGACTTATTAGTGAAGTCCACCCAGGAGACATCAGTAAAGGACAGACAGAAGCAGGTCAGAGAAGGGCAGGAAGCTACACAAGG